TGCACCAATGGTATTATGGCCAATTTTTATTTGGGTAAAATTAACAGGTAGGAAATTTAAGGCATGTTCGACAATGAATTTTTTATTAAGATCAATTTAGTGGGATTTCAGCTTGATTTGAATGTGAACCATCTTCTTAATAAACACTTTTACTCTCCCAACATTGTCGTATCTCATGTCTATTAACTATTTCATCAGTCGTCCAGACTCAACATTATCACGTACTCATCATACACGGCAGGTTTCATATCATGTACTCATCATACAATGCAAGTAAGCATATATCAGCCATTTGGCCTATACAAACAATCAGTCTAAACAACCAAACAAACATATTTTCATTCATACTCTACCCAACAAATATCTCAATCATCTATTCTCACACTATATTCATATAACAGTGCTTTATGAGCACAACATACTTACTATAATAGAAAGATAAAATAGGACTCTCTTTACCTCGAATATGAGCTCATAGAGATATATTAAAAAGGTAAGGAGTCAACTATTAAAAGTTCTCCTGAACACCTCTCGCTCGAGCGATGAGCATCTCGCTTGAGCGAGATATGTAGACAATGATCTTGCACACTATTTTCTGATATGCTCGCTTGAGCGAGCTTCATCTCGCTTGAGTGAGATGGTGTCTAGAGAGCATGTCATTTCTCCTTGGGTCCTCGCCTAAGTGACCTATATCTCCTGGGCAAGATTCTCAGCTCGCCTGAGTGAGATCACTCTTGTTTGGGCGAGGTGACAGTTGGACAACATTTATCTTATCTCGCTTGAGCGAGAATTATCTCACCTGAGTGAGAATTATCTCGCTTAAGCGAGATAACTCTGCAGCAAGATGTTTCTACACACCCAATCTCGCCTGGGCAAGATTTATCTCACTTGAACGAGATCTCCTACACCAAAACTCCTGTAAAATCCTCCTTACTCACATCTAAATACAATATAATACTACTCAATATTAAATAATACATAAATACCGAAAAGATGAGAAGAGGGTGTTACGTTATATGCCATCAATATATTTAAAAAAATTAAATTTGACTTTTAATAATTATATGGTTTTTTTTTTAAATTATCATCTAGAACATTTTTATTTAAATTATTAAATAATATAAATTGGTAAAACTCAATTATATTCATCTTGATTAATCTTGTATATGTATATGTCACTAATTTAAGTATATTTTCTATTATTTTAATTTATTTATTTTCATGATTAAATAATAAAAACATATAACTCTAAACTATTTCTCTATTATAAAATTTTTGAAGTCATATTTCTAATTTTGATAAATTCAATAATCAAATATTTGATTACTTAATTTTATTTCTTCATTTTATTATAAAAAGTTTTGTAACATCAATGTGTAATTTGCATTGTCTTTAGTTGTTCAATAAATTATAAGAAATTTATGTATAATTTACACTATTTTAAATTTTCTTTCAATATGAATCTTCAAATTTAAGTATAAATTCACCTTTTTCATTTACAAATAATTATTTTATTAATTTATTTTTAATAATTTGCAATATGGTTGTGATCTTCCTTTACCTTCTATATTATTTATCGTAAGATATATGTATAATCCCATTATCTTGTATCCTACATATTATAATCATATGAAAATAATTTTAAGCTCAAAATAAACTTTCCTTTACTAAACTTAATTTTAATCAACTAACTTCATAATTTTTATGATAGAACTATTTGACTTCAAGTTCTCCATTGCACTTGGAGATACGTAAGAGGGGCAACGACACCAATCAAATCAAAACCATTTTAAAAGTAATTTGTCTCTTTTTTAAGATACCAATTAATATTTTAATAAATAAATTTTCTTCCTTTAAAAATAAAAATAACAATAATTATTTTTAGGATTTCAATAAATATTTTCAAAGTTATAATAAATTTGCATAATTAATTTAAGATAACTATTATCTAAATGGATGTTGTAAGATGCTAATACCTTCATTACAAGTAAACGACTCCTGAACTCATTTTTTATTTCAAAGACCATGATGTTTTTAAAAAAAAATTTAAAGTTTTTTTTAATAAACTTTTGTGGACAACCTTGAATTTTTTGACATTGAATTCATGGAAAATTTTTGTTAACACGTTTTCATTGTCCTGTTATGATAACCTAAGTTACAAAAATATTTTTTTCTAATCTTTCATAGAGACAGAGTATATTTCTATTACTAAAGTTGTTAAGGAATTCTCGTGAATGCAAAAATTCTTTTTAGAGTTAGGCCTAAAGTAAGAGAAATGTGTTATCCACTGTGACAACCTAAATATAACCTATGGCAAGAAGAAATTGACCTTTTACCCTCTAAGTTGAAGCATATTAGAGTTTGGTATCATTGGATCTACAATGTGCTAAAGAGAAACAATTATCATTGAAAAAAATTCATATAAATGGGAATGAGTCAGTTGTAATGACAAAGACCTTATAGAAAATGTTTTTTTTTTTTCACTTATAAGTGAGTTTGGTTGTCTATGGCCCCACTTGATTGGTAAAAGGGGAGATTTATTAGGTGGGTCACCTTGTGAACATGGGTCACATTGACTTCAATTAAAATAAATAAATAAAAGTGAAATGAGCTTATGACCTAGAAAGCAAATTTTGTCTCTGAAACTATGAGAATAAGAAAAGAGATAAGTGGGTTCATCTGTGTATGCCAAACATTGTATTTTTGTCTAAATTTCAGTATATTATTTATCTAAGATCATCATTTTAGTACACTTTATTTTGTATATTACTTTTTATCTTTTATAGTTGATTTATTCGTCGAAGGATTTTATGTTTGAAATTTTTTTGTTAATCCTTGACGATTGTAAAAAGACTTGTAGTGTACTCACTAATTTGTATTAGTGGAGATCGGAAAATTTGCAAAATATGGTCATTTGTTTCTTAAAAATTTTATGAAAACTATTTTAATTGCACAAAAAAATTTAAATTACTTTTACTTGTTTGTTATTATTTATTATCTTTTTTCTAACTATATGCATTGGAATGTTGTTGATTCTTTAGACTTTGTTGATATCATCAATTTTACTTTGATTGACAAATATAAAAAAAAACTATATATAAAGTTAATCCAACGATAGAATATGACAAATTTCTATGGCTCCTTCATTATCTCTACAAAAATTTTATTAACCAATCACGTAATTTTATTTTGATTTTTAATTTATTAATTATAGTACCTTCTTTTAAGTGAATGGTCATTAACTCTATTAGTTATAAAACCATCTTGATTACTGACTAGTTATTAACACTACATTGATTATTAATTTGGAATTTAATTTAATTTTACCAAAAATTCATTATTTTTTACTCATTTTTCTTCTAATTCTTTTCTTGTTCTTACTCTTACTTTGTCTCTTTTCCTTTCTCTCGTCATTTTTCCGGTTATGTTATCTCTTCACTCTTACTTCTCTTCCTCTCACCATAAATATGTCCTTTATTGAAAAAATGTAACCAAATGCATGATCTTGTCTTTTTACTCATGTATATCTTTTTTTTTTCTTCTTCTCTATACATTGGTATTTTAAAATTTTTAAGTACTATACTTAAAAAAATTATGCTAAAGAAAAGAAATATGTAATAAGTTATAAAAAATATATATTATTATATATAATTTATTATTAAATAAAATTATCACTTAAACATGTGCTAAAGTATTATTGGTTAAAAATTTTGTTAGTATCTTAAAATTTTTTAAAGGTACTACATAATTTATCTACATTTTAACACACAGTTGATTAATATTTTGCTTATTAATAATATTTTATTCAAGTGTGACTATTTTATTTTTTATACATATCTTTTCTTTGTCTTCCTTTTATATTTTTTGTAATCCTATTATCTTTTTTTCTTCTTTTTTTTTTCCTGTTCTTTTTTCAATAAAATTTCCTTTTCATAACTTTTCTTATACAAAATTAGTAATATTTGTATAAGAAAAGATAAGATGATACTGAATCATTGGGTCTGCTAAGAAAGTTTGAATCACATATTTAAGGTTTTCAAAATGGAAGGTGAATATTTTGAAATTAAAATCCTTAAATCATGTAATTTTAGAGTTATTTTTCACTTTTCATATTCACTGTGTGCTTGGTTTTTTACGTATATTTCCAAGTCAAATATGCATGTAATATTTTTTTTTGGAAGATCGTAGTTTGTTATGAATAAATTCAAAATTTTCATGTTATCTTCTATGTATTGATTTCATTCTCTTCACTTTTTCTCTTTTTATTAGGCACATTTTTATTTCAAGTTGTTAGAATATTAATAAAATATAAAAAAAATGAAAAAGCATTTAATGATTTGACTGACTTCATATCATTGAAATGAAACTTAGAGCTAAATCATTCGCAATAAGTTTTTTTTTAATATTTTTATCTAAATTTTATGTTTATATTCGTTAATATTCTCTTTTTTTTAATTCTTTATTTATACATTGCTGTCTAAATTGATCTGAAATACACTTCTGTTTGAAATAAATAAGTCTTATGTTTGTTATTTATTCTTTTTTTGCTGCAAATTTTTTATGCAATTAAACCCCAAATTGCCAAGTCTTGAAGTTCTTTTTCTTTTTTACTTTTGTTAATTTAGGTTTTAAGAAGAACAACAATCTTTTATTTATTCTTTTAAGTCATGCAACAATTATTGAAGCAAGATATCCTGAACTATTTATCTAGGTAAGCTTTAATTTTAATTCTCTTCTTCAATTTTCTCAAATTTTGTTCTTGTTATAAGTAAATTTGTGACTAGAGGATCTCTATAAATATAAGGCATTGTTATTTTTTTTCCTTTTCATATATATTTTTTAATTTTTTATTTCTTTTTTTAATTATTGAAAATAAAATATAAAATAAAATAACTAATTAAAAAATCAAATGTTTTATTTATTATTTGGAATAAACCCTAAAATGGTGGAATTCGTACACTCTGTCTTGTTTATAGTGTGACATGAAAAACAAATTGACAGAGAAAATAATCGGGCAGAGAGCAGAGGGGAGGGGACAGGCAGAAGAAGAGAAGAAAGAACAAAAGTGGTGCGCCACTCAGTGCCCCAATTTCATTTCCCACTCAGTTTCTTTCTCACTAGCGAATAGCGATTAAAATTTTAGAATCACGCACTCCTCAAATGCATGGAAGAGCAACAACAACAAAAACAACAACAGGAAGGTCCTATCCCCCTTGACTGGAAACGACTCCTCCCCGACGAGGACCCTCCGCCGCCGGAACTTGTCGTTATGACGCCGTCTTCCATAGCCTCCGATCAGTTCTCCGATGATGGCTTCGATTTTTACTCCGATCACAAACTCAGGGAATCGATTCAGAGCATGGCGAAGACACTCGAGGGAACGGGTAAGAATTTGAAGGACGGTGGTGCCAAGCTCCGTGTCACCATCGACCGCTACCGAGAAGAGCTTAGTCGTCGAGAACACAAACGCCTTCATCAGGTTCCGCTTGCCACACTAGAATTTTTTGTTTTTAATTATTATTGTTGTTATTATTATTTTGGAATGTGGTTTGTTTGATGGAGGCATTGATTGTATATGGTTGTTTGTTATTATTATTGTGTTGTTTGTTTCATTTGTTGTTAGAAGTTAAGTTCTGTTGTACTATTAGAATTTTGATCATTATGATGTGAGTTACTAATTTTATTCTCAGTTTAATTACTTAGATTTTGTTTGTTGTTTGGTTTTCCTTTGTAGAACAGGATGTTGAAGAGGACCAGAAGAAGCAGTCCCGACAAGCTACCAGCTCAAGTGCTGTTGGCGAGGGTCAGTGTTGTTTTCTTCCTTGTGTGTTTATTTTGGAAGCATGCAACTGCAATCATGTAGTGATTCTTAATTTCCTATAATGGGTCAACCTTGGACTATGTAAGATTAGATTTGCTTGTGTGGGAATGCTAGGATTAAATGGTAAGTGAAGATGATGGTCAGTTGAAACTTGAAAGTCATGCTTAGTGCTGGTAGGGAATCAAATAATATTTTATGATTGCTCCAAGAAAGTTGCTATTGAAACTGATCTTTAAGCTTATTTTTATGCTGATGCCTTTGTGGTAAAACAGTAATGGCGTGGTGTTTTGATTCTATGCATTAATGTCCCTTGGGTGACAAGATGGGAAAGTATCTTGAGTATGGTCTGCTACATGTCATTTTTGTTCGTTCTTGGAGAAAAAGGAAAAAATTGTTACTAGATTATAGATCTCAACATTGGAAACCTGTTGTTTAGTGTAATATGTCCGTAACACATAGTTATTATGGGATTGCGACATTGCGTCATGGAGTGGCTCCTGGGTGCCACAGAACTCAAATAGCATTGTGGTTTTGAATATCATTGAAATTGAAGCATTTTGTGTCTGAATCAGGCACAGGTGTGACTGGGTGCAAAAAACCCTAATTTAGATTTTAGCCCTGTAATGGTACACCTTGGAGGCTAGGACTCTTTAAGGGGGTTGATTTTGCAATTTCTCACTGGGCCCTTTCTTTCATTAAATCAGAAGTTTCAAATGAAACCCTACGTTTCCCACACTAGCACACATTGTTTCTCACGAACTGCAGTGGTAGTTACCTGCCATCCCTGATCTCTATGTTCTGTACTAAGTTATTGGTAGTTTCCGGCCATGCTTGACATCTGCAGATTTCCATCCATTCATGTTATCACTGTCTAACTGTTCTCTTTCCTTTCATTTTGTTTTCTGTTCTCCACCTTTAAGATTTATTATTATTAAATATTAATAATGAATATGTCTTTAACTTTGGTTTTTGACCAAGCCTAGTGGCATCGTTTGATCCATGTAGACTTCTCCTAGTGGGATATGGTGCGTAGCAGACAACCTTCAAAACACTATAGCAAGACAGCGTATAGCAGGATAACTGCTATTTTAAAGTATTTTATGTGGATATAAAATATATACATATGCAGATAATTATGTATATAATGCTAAAAAAATATGCATAAATAGCATAGGAATAATTATCAATAAAAGACATAAAGAGAAGAAAGAAAATGGATTTTCCGGGAGAACACACCGGAGTCAGTACTGTAGAATCATAGAATAAAGATAAGAAAGGAAGTGGATTTTGCCAGAGAAGTCATCGTATAGAAATTGTTGCAATGCAGAACAGACACAGATGAGAGAGGGAGCATCAAACTGAGAAGGGGAGAAGAAAATATGTGGAGAAAAAGGGGGTTTTTGTCACGTGTCTCTAGTTGCAAAGCAGAACTGAAATAGAGATGAGAGGACAGGGTGTCAAATAGAGAAAGGAAGAAGAAAAACATGGGGAAAAGTGAGGTTAGGTCTGAAAACTGAGAAGACTATTTTACCCTTAAAGAAAACCTCAAGATTGTGTCATCTTAAGGCAAAAAGGAAAATCAGTTATTTCTAGAAGACTAGAAGTCTTTTTACCCATAAAAACCTAAAAATTCCTTTAGTTTGAGGGTAGAAAAGGAAATCAGTTATCTTTCCCTGTGGTGGCCCTATTGCGCCGCGAAAGGCCGCAACAGCAAACACGCGCTGTTTGTATGTTTATTATTTAACTTGTACCTAAAATTTCACAATAGCAGCCATCCCTCTATCTGCTATTCTACAATATCAGGTTTGGGGTCAGCTGCTTTGCACTGCTACTTAGGATTAATAACTATGATATACTGCAGGCTGCTTAGTCATTCTTAAATTACTTGTTTGTTGGATACTTACAACTAATTGTTTTTGTAGGGGTGTGTAAGGACTTGAGAGAAGAGATATCATCTCAAGCGCAGTCACAATCCTCGTTTGCATCTTGTTTTGTCAAGAAAATGAAAGATGATGTAAGGTCTTTTGCATCATTTGTAAATTACTTAATTTTTCCCTTTCTAGCTTGCCTGATATTACAGAATCTTACTTTAATTAGTTAAGCAGACTAATTGTACAGATGTTGGTGCATTTAAAAAGGAGTTATCACGTTTCAAACATTGCAACAACCGGACAACACGAGGCAATGGAGAATCTAAAGGAAAAAAGAGACATCGATCATCATCAAGACGATTGTCATTTCAGTGCCCTAGCAATCTTTCGAAACGTGGTACTTCTAGTGATGATAAAACTTGGAGAGCAACTTCCACACTCTCTCTGCAGAATATTGGGAGAAACCTGTCAAGATGCTATCCAAAAGTGTAAGAGAAAATGTCTTATGGTTTTTCATTCCAACACTTTAGAGTGGGAAAATTATTGTCTGATTCTGGGCTTGATGTATTTAACTCATTTAGCCATATCGCCATTGTTAGTTAAATTGACATGAATATTTTACTTTTCATCAAACTAATGTAGTGCATTTCAGATAATATGTGAATTGGATTTACACAATAAAAGCTAGTACATTTCATCCAGATGCACAAAGGGATAGTTATCTTTATGTGTGAAATCTTGCTGCCTCAGACAATGGTATTGGTTTGTGTTATTTCTGAATTTTATAATTTTTCTTTTCCTTTAAATATTTTCAATGTAAAGGAGATCTGTCTACTTGAGCTTCCCTGAAACAAGGAAGAGAGAGAAAGAAAGGGATAGATGAAGATGAATTGATATGTATGATGTTTTATCCTTAAATTAGTACATTATGATTTGCACAAATCGATGTGAAGGTATTTTGTGTTTATGTTGTCCTTGTACTATTTTTGAATTGAAAGGTCTTCTTTATCTTAACATCATCAATCCATCATCATTTGCTACGGAAAATTATTCATAAGATTTCCTTCTGTGCCCTTTTCTACTGTTGCTGAAGATGGTGCAGATATGGTTTGTTAATTTTGGCACTAGCAAGGTTTTCTGAATGATGAATTCATAATGTTTGATTCTTATTTTCTTTCCCCACCCAGTAGGAAGGATGCTTCTCTGGAAATTCATTCTGATGGCTCAAGGTCTAGGAAGGTATGTCTATATGTTCTTATTTATCCATTCATCTAATGTTGTTAGCTTGTAACCTTTGTCAGTTGTAGTAGTTGGTTATTCGATTCCCAATTTGATCTGTAGTGTGTTCATAGTCTGACACATCTCTAGCTTCACTGATTACTTACAAGTGATAAGTTATATATGACATGTTTTAAATAGGGTCAGCCCATTGTTCTTGATGATGATGATGACGACAACGACTATGATGAACTTCATATTGTGGAGCAAACAGAAAATGGATTTGCTGAGCAGTAAGTGATTTTGATTGCTTCTGTTTGTTTATCTATTTATTTGTTTATATGATCTTTTATAATATGCCCATATAATCCTTCATTTTACTTGATTTGTGTCTCTTTTCAGCCTGAAAGAAGCTAAGATCTATTTCCCATCAAGGTACTTCAAAAGAGCCAGAATGTATCATTTTCCTTCAACCATAATTTTATATCTTACTTAGTCGCATGACCTGTTAACTTTCCTTTGTAATGGCTCAGAGATGATCCAGAGTGTGTTGAAATTTGTTACACAGACACTGATTGCCTTGCCCCTGAAGGCTATTTAACATCAACTATTATGAATTTCTACATTCGGTAAGCCTATTTAAGCCTCCCATTCCTTTACCTGCTGCAGTTCCTTTTGAGTATATTTCTTTTTGTGATGAAGAGAAAAACACATATTAGTTCCTTCTTTCTATTGTTTCCCTAGATCTCATTGGATGTGATATGTTGGGAATGTAGATCAGTAGATGGAAAGAATATAAATCAATGAGATAGAAATCTGGTATCTTTATTAGGAATCACAAGGGAGAACTCCCCAACATACTGACACAACAATTCTGAGGCGCTGCACCTCCTAAGCCAAAGGCCCAAACTCTCACAATTGACAAGCTGATCCCTCTCTCTACCTCCCTCTTATTTATAGAGGCAATATGCCTTATTTCTTCTACAATCTCAACTTGCCCAACTACTAATTAATTCAGGTTAACTAACTAATATATTGTAACTAACTATTAATGGGTTCCTAACTAACATATCATAACTAACTACTAATACGGGTTACCTAACAATTCTTCTCCCCTAAAGTTTCACCTTGTCCTCAAGGTGAATGATTGAGTAAATGCCCTGATTAGCTGCTGAAATAAAGTCCAATTGATGTTCCAACTGATTGAAGCATGATAACAATTCCACCTTGCAGCTAATATTAGTTTCCATTCCTCCTGAGTCAAACTCAAACATTTGAATGCATCCAATCTCTTCCAATACTTTGTTTTCTTTTATAATTTTTAGTCCAGAAACATAGCATCATTGCCTCTGCAAGTGTACTAAGAACTCAAGGTTCTATTAAAAATTGCCATATTGCAAATGGTAGAAGCTGATTGTTATCAAAGTTCTTCACTACCTTCTGCTGGGTCTAGTCTTTTAGGTCAAGAAATTAATTAAATTTCTGAGATTCCCTTTTCATCATCAACTCAACTGAATATATGTCACCGTCCTCTATACTTCCACAAAATTATTGGTCCCTGCACTCCAACTGCTTTGTTTCCCTAAACATGATGACTTAGTATACATAAACAAGATGACAAGCTATTTGTTTGAATGACATAGAGAAACACATCCAAAACAGTTTTGAGCTTCAAAACCATACTTGGCATTCAATTAATCAAATGGGTTCTATCAAAATGGCTTCTCTAGGTATGTTGGAACCATAGTTGGAGGAGTAATTGATGTCCTGTACATCTTCAATTGGTGTCAACGGTGTAGAGTTTGTTGATCTCTATAGGCTTGCCAATCATCCTCTCTGAGTTCAGTGCCTCAATTTATGACACAAGGAATAAAAAATAGTATGGCAATTCTACTTAAGTTATTTTACTAATGGACAATATGTTGCATGATAGGTTAGGAACATAAAGAACATTGTAGAGAGTTAACGAGGAAGAGAGAGAGAGAGAGAGAGAGGGGGGGGGGGGCAGAGCTAATTCCAGATGTTGCATAGAATGACCCATTGACAAATTTGATTTTTGGTATAGGAAGAAAATAATCTTGAACAATCAGTCATATGTTCAGTTGTTTCAAAATTAATGACCCAAAGGTTTTTGGGAATTCGTTTATTACCAAGAAATTCAACTCGGAGATGAGTACCTTTTTGGGCTAAGAAATAAGGGAGATTTCCTAACATTTTGGAAGAATAGTTTGTACAAGTACTCCTATTGTTCCTTTGTAAGACGGGTTGCCTCAGAAGTGGAATGTAGCTCTTGGGTTTCTATGATGGTGATCTGAGAAACAAACGTCCCTTAGTTTTCACAACTGTAGAAGCAAGGTCTTGAGCATGAGGTTTTGAAGTCATGTAGGTTTAGAGAAAAAAATATTCTCATACTAATCATTGAGTCAGAATTAGTTGAGGAGAGATAACCAACATCAAATTACAAGAAAACAAAAGGGGCAAAACAAGGGATTAAAAGCCATCCTAACAACAATTGAATCTGCAGATTTAGCTTTTGTTCTAACTAAATTTTCTAATTTGTCCAAAAATTTAATTCTTGTAGAATTAAGAGAGAGAGACAAATTAGTATGCTAGAATTGGATACTCTACAACATGTAAAGACCCTTATATTTATAAGGATACATATGTAACTCTACTGGGTCAAGCACATTATTATAATGCTAACATAAACCCTAATCCTAATACTCCTATTATAGCTATTCATAACACTCCTCTTCAAGTTGGAGCATAGATATTAATCATGCTCAGCTTGTTATAAATATAATTGCTAAGTGTCTCATTTAAAGCCTTTGTAAACACATCTGCTAGTTGGTTGTCTGTCCTAATATGAGAGATGAACATAAGCTTTTGTTGAACTTTTTCTCGAATAATGTGATAGTCCATCTCAATATGTTTCATCCGTTCATGAAAAACTGGATTTGAGGCAATGTGTATCGCTGCCTGGTTATCACACCAAAGTTGCATAGGCTGAGTGCTACCAAATCTTATCTCTTCCAACATATGTTTCAACCACATTAACTCACAAGTAGTCTGAGTCATTATTCTGTATTTTGATTTTGCACTCGATCTCGATACAACGTTCTGCTTCTTATTTTTCCACGAAATTAAATTACCTTCCAAGAACATACAGTATCCGGTAGTAGATTTTCAGTCCATAGATCGTGTCCAATCAGCATCAGAAAACGCCTCTATCTGTGCATGTCCATAATCTTTGTACACAATTCCTTTTTCTTGTACTTTCTTCGAATACTTCACAATGCGGATTAGTGCTTCCCAATGAGTATCTGTCAGAAATGACATAAACTAGCTAACAACACTCATTGGAAAAGCAATATCCGGCTTTGTGGCAGTCAAGTAATTTAGCTTGCCTACTAATCTTCTATATTTTTGTGGATCTGCAAAAAGAATTCCATCTTTACATTGTATGATCACTCTTACTCTTTACTAATCCAAATTCCATAATCACATCATTGAATCTCCCAAACCATGCTCTAGGTGATTGTTTCAAGCCATATAATGACTTCTTTAAACGATACACTCTTCCATATTCTCCCTAAGTGACAAATCCAGGTGTTTGCTCGATGTACATCTCCTGTAAGTCTCCATGTAAGAATGCATTCTTGACATCTAATTGGAATAATGGCCAATGATGCATAGCCGCAAGAGAGATGAAGATGCAAACAGATGAGAGTTTAGCAATCGGAGAAAATGTGTCAGTGTAGTCAACGCCATAAGCTTGGGCATACTCTTTTGCGACAAGTTGTGCCTTCAAACGAGCCACAAAACCACCCGAATTAACTTTCACAGTGTAAACCCACTTGCAAGAGGAACCAAATCCTAAGTATCATTTGTCTCAAGAGCTAATATTTCTTCCTACATAGCATGTCTCCAATTATCATGACTGAGGGCATCTGCAAGGGTCTTAGGAATAAAAAAAGAGTCTACACCAGCCATGAAGAATTTAGATGTAGAGGATAAATGAGTAGACGTTACATAAAATGAAATAGGATAGGTGCAAGATTTCTTATTTTTACAGATAGCAATAGGAAAGTCAAGGTCAGGCATAGGATTTGTTGACACTTGAGGAGATAATGGTAGAAGTTGAATATCATCTTGAATATCATTAGCCATGGGGGGCACATCATTTGAAGGTTGTTTCGGCCGACAAGAGTATGTCCGCTCAAAGAACTTGAAACCTGTGTTAATAGGAGCTAAAAATGCAACATGATGTGTAGATTGGACAAGAGTGTAAGTTAAGAAAGGTTCATTTACTTCATACATGGACTCAGAAGATGAGGACTTAAAGAATGGAAGACTTTCAAAGAAAGACACATCAGAAGAGAAAAGATAACGACTAAGATCAAAAGAAAAACAACGGTAACCTTTTTGTGACCAAGAATAACCCAAAAACACATTTTAGAGACTTTAGATTAAGTTTAGTTACCTGAGGACGAACATCGAACACAAAACAATGTAGCCAAAAACTTTAGGAGGTAAAGAAAAAAGAGATAGTGATGGAAAAAGTATAGGGTGAGGAATCTTACCATGTAACACAGATGATGACATGTGATTAATTAAATATGTAGCAGTAAAAACAGCATCAGCCCAAACAGGTTTAGGAACTTTCATTTCAAACATTAAAGCACAGGCTACCTCCATAAGATGTGATTTTTATGTTTAGCTACTCTATTTTGTTGTAGGGTAACAATACAAGAGAACTAATGGAGTATGCCATGTTTATTCATAAAATTAGTGAAGGATGCAGAAAAATATTCTTTAGCATTATCACTTCTAAGAATGCGCTCACAAGTATTAAATTGAGTTTTAATTTCAGCACAGAAATTACAAAATATAAAAAAGACTTAAGATCTGAATTTATCAGAAGCAGCCATGTTACACGAGAATAATCATCCACAAAAGTAATAAAATATTTAAAATTAGATTTAGAAGTAACTGGACAAGGGCCTGAAACATCAGAATGAACAATTTCAAAGGGGGCATGAGCCTTTTTATTTAAATGAGTTAAATAAATATTACGATGATGTTTAGTAAACTAACATGACTCATAGTAAAAATTAGACTTTATACTAGGACATAATTTCCTAAGAACACCTAAAAACGAATGACCTAGACAGCAATGAAGTTGGAAAAGAGACACTTTTTCATTCCTAGAAGCAATAGAAGCTTGCGAAAGTCCTTCTTCTTCCAATATTTTATGATGTACCTCTACCAATAATCCTCTGTGTCACCAGATCTTGAAAACTACAAGAATCAGAAAAGAATGTTATTGAGCAATTTAATGATGAAATGATTTGGCTAATGAATAACAAATTTTAGGGGAATTGAGGCAAATATAAAACAGATAATAAAGGTAAGGTTGAAACTGGGGTGGTACACCCGTAACTCTTAATATTGACACTAGAACCATCAACGAGTATTACAGAAGAATGAGAACTGGATAGACAAAGAGGAAAAGATACCTGAATCCCCAGTCATAGTAGTGCCAGAATCAATGACTCAACGCCTGGAAGAAGAGGAAAGATATACAGTAAGATTATTTTTTTGGACAAAAGTAGTTGTAGAGGATGTAGACGGATGTTGGGAAATTTGAAACTGAGTATACTAAATAAATTCCTCATCACTCGTGCATAGTACGTCCTTATTTCTCCTAAGTAGCTGTATCAAGTTAAGACACCGAGTTAGCAAAGCGGGAATTACCTTGTGATGAAAAAAGACTGATTTTGTGGAGGATGAGTGTATTGATTCCAATAATGGCCAAATTTGCCAAAGTTGTAGCATTGTACAATACCACGACCTCCACTACTTCCATGGCTACGGCAACCTCTACCACCATTGCGAGCACCACAGTGACTGTATTGGGCTGCCAAGGAAGCGTGGTCAGGAGACTCATTTTTTGTAGTGCTCTTGAGTTCCTCAAAGGAAGATTACATAACTTTGGAGAAGACATCGTTAAAATTATCAACCTACTTACTTGATCGAATTTGAGACCGAACTACTTCATATTCCGGATCAAGTTCGTAGAGCCAACTCAAAGCCATGAGTTTCTTTTGTTGTGCTATCATCTCGTCAATTGTTTTGCAGGCTAAAAGAGATTGTATTTCCTCAGTATGCTTCTTAAACTCTAAAAAATAGTCCATTAGCTTCTACTTATTTTGTTTAGGTCCATAGATTTCCTGCAAAAGAGTATACAACTGATTCAAATTATCAAATTTTTCAAAAATAAATTGCAAGAAGTCCCACAACTCCTTCACAGTTTTGCAATGGGTAATAATCGTTTGTATTCACCTATTAACAGAGTTTACTAGCAATGCAAGGATCTTTTTGTCGCATATTGTTCATGTATAAACATCCTTAGAATTGACAAATGCCATTTTAGCCAAATGATTATACTTTCCCATTCCACCCAGGCTAATCTCAACCAAATACTTCCACTTTATATAGTTTGTACCGTCTCCATCTAGCTTAATATCGGTAAGTTTAGATAGAGATACAATCTCCGTAACAACCCTCTTGTGTTGTGCATCCTGCATATCTCGGCTATCACGTTCAGACATTGTATATCCACAAACAATGATGAAATTGCCTGGGTTTCGTCTCAATGGCTAGAAAGAAACGCCGCACTCAAACTGTAAACACCGAATTATTGTATATTTTGGTCACTGGAGAAAAATTTTCATCCCCACAGCAGCCATGGTTGGCCTTTTTTGAAGTTGATTTTTTTTTTTTTTTTTGGTGGTGGCAGCAGTGGCGGCGGCGACTAAGGAGGAATCCTAGAAGACTCTTGATACCATGTAGAATTAAGAGAGAGAGAGAGAGTATAGAGAGAGAGATAGATTAATGTGCTGGAATTGGATACTCTACAACCTGTAGAGACTTTTATGAAGATACATATGTAACTCTACAGGGTCAAGCAAGCTTATTATTATAATACTAACATAAACCCTAATCCTAATATGTCTATTATAGCTATTTATAACAATTTCTAATCTTGACTAATGTGAGAATGAGGAGCAAAGCAAGGGTCAAGAATGGAGCAAAATAAGGGATTTAAAAAGCCTTCCTAACAGCAACTGAATCAGCAAATTAGTTTGTGTTCTAACTAAAAATTTTCTAACCGCCCAAACAATTTATTCCTAACCTTGACTAATATGATCAATGATATCAAGTGTCAAACTTTGTAAACTTGCACCTTTATTAACTTTTGAAAAATGTTAAATTTTATCTATCCAACTATTAACATTAAAAGTTCTCACAAGGTGTATCTAGTTTATAAATTTTCATAAGATTTAAAATCTAATTGATGCTTTATTGCACTGTTTTATTTTAACATATAATGAGATTTAAAATGTAAGTAAAAATCTATTTTTAGATTACACATGTACGAATGTCTAAATTATTTGAAATTTGGTATATTTGATCATTATGATAATATCACACAATAATAGTTGTATCAATAAAATTTTAAGTTTTGTAAAATGTTCTTAAATGTGTATCTTTTCCGTGCTTGATGCTTATTATCAATTGATTCTGTCCCTATACACACACACATATAATGAGTTTGTGATTGAGTATTTAATGAATTAAGCTTGAGTATTTCATGAATAGATTAACTCATTACACCCCTACAAGCTGTTACTACTCACCTTTTTTGTCCATTAAACTGATTATATGATCACTTTTTGTGCCCCTTTAGGGTTAGTTATTGTGATAATTTCAATCATACTGCAGTACAGTAATAGTTCTAGGACATTTTGAATGTTTAGTTTCTGGATTCCCTACTTATGGAATTTTCAATTGGATAGATATTTGCAGCAGCAAGCATCACTGACAAATAGATCGTTATCTGACTACCATTTTTTCAATACATATTTCTATAAGAAGCTTAAAGAAGCTGTTTCCTACAAGGTAATTAATTATCTTCCTGCAAATTCATAGCTGTATTTATGTGCATCCACTTAGGTTATTTTCTCAGTAAGCAGACTCTTTATCATTGTGATATAAGTCATTTTTTATTGTTCCATTTCAAATCTTGTGATGGGTTTATTGTAAAGTTGCTTTTGTTGTTAAAGTTAATTTCTCTCCCTTTGTTCCTCACATTCCCTTCACTTTGTACTCTTTCATAGTACAGGTTCTAATTCGTTTTTTTATTGCAATATCTAGCAAAGTGACAGAGAGATGATCTTTGCGAGGTTCAGAAGATGGTGGAAAGGTGTAAATATTTTTCAGAAGGCATATGTTTTGATTCCTATACATGAGGAGTAAGTTCTCTTGTTAGCATTGGACTTTTGTATGTAAATGATAATTCTTGTTAATGGTGGGAGGTTCTTTTTGTGCTTCCTTTGAAATAGGTTATCTGAAAAATACTGTTTACATGCCAAAAAATGACCTTCATTGTGAAGAAACATTTATGCATGTTTACTTCTATAATATTACCTCCTTATTTTATATTTTGACTTTTTAATGAAATTAGATGAAAATTTTGGTTTATAAGTGGGCATGCTACTGATGGAAATCCACAAATGAACCATTCTATCTTTGTTGGTTATTTACATTCCTAGTTTCCTTCCACCATGTAATTGCTAGTCATCTAAAGAATGTCCACCTTTTTATTTTGGTATACTTGGGGCATCCTCCCCTGCTCGTAAACATTCATTACAAAAAATTGCAAATAAAACTGAAACGTTTGGAGCTGAAATTCAGTACTTAATTTTATTGATGCAAATTTTTGCAGTAGGTTATAATATCTAGAAAATTTTTAGTTTTTAGTTTTAAATATGTTGTTGGAAACTTGGTCTTTATTTAGTCAAAGGAGGCTGCGTATTTCACATAGAAGGTCATTGCATACCATAAGCACCAACTCTTTCACGAAAATTAGTGGAAAAGTACTGATGCAAAAAAACAAGAAAGAAGAAATTTACATATGTGACAGTTGTTAGAGGCATGGCTAATGACTTTCTTATGAGAATAAGTTTACATTAGGGCTCATCTTAAGTCATTATTTGTTTAACCTAGTGCATGCTTATTAAAGACATAGTAAAGATTACTTTTTAATGCATGCTTTTAGCAGATGACATAATCTTAATTGAGGAATTAAGAGATGTTAACCTTAAGCATGAGCTTTAAAGATAAGACTTTGGAATAAAAAAGGTTTTTGCTTGAGTAAGAGTGTGATAGTGTACATGTATAATGTATTGCAATTTTAGTACGGAACAAGTTAAAAATGATTTGGAGATAAAAATTGGAGATGATGTAATACTACAACTTTTCAAGTTTGTACAATGTAAATTCCTTTGTACAATTGTTATTAGAAAAAATAATATTCAAATCCTGTTTTCCATTCAAGTTGATAATATTGGTATCAAACCTTCCAATCTAGAAGACTATGCTTTCTCTGAAGTCTACCTTAATTGCAGTCATTGTAGTAGCCACCTTTATTGTGGCTGACCCTAATCTCCTTTGAGCCTTCATTGCACTTGGATTTCTGTGAATGTCATCAAACCTGCTTCAACCATTGGCATCAGCCACAGCCCTTGATCTTAGTGTCCTTACTAAACAAACTGCTGTTTGGCAAATATCCATCTCATTGTTTTACACATGGCCACAAGTGCAAGGGGACTTTCACCGTGACTGATCATGTGCCAACTTTTACACAGCACCTGGTAATCAATTTGATCACTGTTGGTTTCGTTGCCCCAATTTTGGCCTTCTTCTGCATAGAGCTGTCCCTACCTTAATTAATACCAACCTGCTGGTCCTTCTTCCAAACAGCAAGCCCTATAGCCTTACCTAGTAACCTTTGTGACTACTTCCAACCTCTTGACCACAGTGTATGACTTATATATCACCATCACTCATTATTACCAAATCTACCCCTATTTTGGTGCTTTTCACTCCCTATGTTGTACTAGTTCTATGTCCTACCTATCACCTTATTGCCAAGACCTATTTACAGAGGGCTCCTGTTATGAACCCAAATTAGAAAAACGGACAAAAGGAAAGAAATATTGTATTTCTTAATTGATTGCAAAAGAATAAAATAAAGGTGAGAGAACTCTCCTTCAAGTGTTTTCCCTTCATGAAGGATTTCTCCTTTGACAAGCAAAAGCTCAAGTCTCCAAATGATGCAGGATAGAATGACTCCTTTCCCCTTACATTCTCCTATTTCTTTAACTAACGCACTTCCTTACTAACTAACTAATAACTATCATAACTACCCTAACTAATTATTCTAACACCTAAAAATAGCATCCCATTGAAAATCATTCTTGTCCTCAAGGTTGAAATTGTTGAAGTTGGATTCACCCTAAATGCTTTTCTTATTGTCTTCAACTAAATGTTGTGAGAACATGGTGAATCCAGGCTTAAGCTAAATGCCGATGCAACAATCTTGTGGATCAGATCTGACCCATTTATATTACCACATTGTACTAGAGCCTTTGCCCCATCAATATGGGTTCTACTAATTAAGTCCAAGAATTGGAAAAATATCCAGTTTACCTGTATTTCTTCAAAGATCCAATTACCCCAACCATTTTGGGCTTGATCTGTCAAAAGTAATAGGATTCACTTTGCAGAACTCAACTTCTTCCTTCTCTCTTTTGTTTGTGCAGAAAGTTATCCCAGCTAGCTGTGTATATCCTTGTGCTCGTCCACTGTGACATTGTTGTTAGTGACCCATTGGATGCTGATTTCAGGCTCACGTCTAGTGGCTCTGGTGGTGGAGTAGGTTGGTAGGATTCTTAGAAACCCATGAAATTGAGTGTGGTAGATTCGACAGTGGAACCTCAGTCTTCTACCCAAGCCAAAACTTCCTGTTAGTTAATGTCTGTTCCCATGCACTAAAGAACTAGAATTTGGTGGTTGCCTAGTTGGGCTTCTTGACATTCTCTTTGTCAGTGGTTCTGTCATTTCTCATACGTCTTTGGAACAATCTTTCATGTTCTTGGATGCACACATCCAAATTTAGCAAATAAAGGTCCCATCGACTGGTTTGAGCTCCAAGTTTGCATCATTGTTGAAGTGTCACCCATCTTCAGGGTTGAATCTTGGTCAAACTATGATGTCAGATTCATTGTAACAAACTTTTTCTGAAAATTTGGAAATCCGGTAGACCAGACCAATTTGTTAGGAACATGAATTAGAAAAACAAAGGAAGAGTAAGAAATATTGTATTTTTTGATTGATTGCAGAAAAACCATTGAGAGGGAAACGAGATGGCACAGGATGAATTTGTGTTTGAATACACAGTGAAGCTCTCTATTTATAATAATAAGGCACAATTATCTAAAATTACACTAATTACATAGTTACCTTATTTACAAGATTATCCTATTACCCTATTTACAGTAATCCCACCATGTACAAAGCAAGGGATAGACAACTCTCCTCCCAAGGTTTCCCCTTTACAAAGGATTTCTCCTTTCACAGAGAGTAAACACTCAATTCTTCTATTTTTCTAACTCACAAACTTCCATACTATTTAACTAATTAATAACTGTACTAACTAATTATCATAACTCTTAGCATCCTGTCATTGTAGTTTTGTACCACCTTCAAGGTTAGTGAAAATTAAACCTATTGAAGGAACAAGACAAACTTGAAGTTCAACGAGTGGGGATAGCAAGGGCTGCCTTATCATGACTTGTCTGTAGAATCTTGTCTCCAGATGTTTGACAAAATTACCTCTTACCCATGAAATTTGAGACAATCTTTATTAGACATACGTCATGAAATAGGATGCAGTCAACTACTATAGTTGAAAACAAAACTTTTCTCTGTCGAATAGGAACTGTCTTAGTTATTTATTATTATAGGGTCCTTAATGTGCTGTTGATTGTGCTTGTCCTATATTAAAATCTAAAGATTGACTGTATTAAAGATGCTTCAACAGTTCCACTTTGGCTGAGGAGAAATTTTGGGAAAGGAGGAATTTTCATCTCTCTTGACATTTTGGAGAAAAGAGTTGTTGGGATATCATGTTTATTTACAAGTCCACTGATGATCAGCTTTAGCAATGGGCAATACCACTAAACTAGGGTGTTTTTCCTCTTCCTCCAGGCCTAATTGGAAGAATTGTTGGTGCACCTAATGTAAGAAATCTGGTCACCCCAAGGAGAACTGTTTCAAAGTCTACGGAGGACTAAGTTTTTAGCCACATAGGATGTTTTCAAGGGTATTCAACATTGTCAAGCACATTAGATCACTTTAGATTATAGAACTATCGGTGAGGCCTCACAGGGTGGATATGAAGTTTAATCCATTAGTATAGATGACTGGGAGTGCCATTGGATTGGACTGTTATTGACTGTCTAAGTAAGCCTATTACTGTTGTTCTCTAGCCATTAGTCAGAATTTGTGTTCTCTATTCATATGGTGTATTGATCATATGACCTGTTTTCAACAGCTTGTCTTATCATCTTCTGATAAACATTGTATAACTATAGTGGATGGCTCTTATACCCAAGTTGTGGGTTGTGATAATATCAAACTTCATTCTTCCCTACACTTAACAATATGCTTCATGTTTTCAAACTTCCCAATAATCATATTTTCATTCATGAGCTTACCAAAGACCAAAATTGTACAATTACCTTCTGCCATTCTCATCTTGTCTTGAGGATCTTCTAACGGGGAGAACAAGTGGTGTTGCTGGAGAATAGGAAAAGTTGTATTATCTCCTCAATATGTGATCTCAAGGTGCTCTTGGTGAAAAGATGCTACTTTCTTGGCCTCAGTCTAGTTGAGAATCTTGCTTATCAAATTTGGATACTATACAACTGTTTTGGACATCCTCCTCTTACACTAGTTTGTGATTTTATCTTTGTTCTTGAAAGAACTTGTTAAGTCTTTCAATTGTGATGTCTGTGAGTTTGCTAAACACTATTTTGCAACCTTTTCTCTTAATTCTATAAAATGTGGAACTTATTCATTCTGAAGCTTGCGGTGTTGCATCCCTTTCCAATGTTTTTGGTGCAAAATGTTTTGTTTCATTTATTGATGATTGTACTCGTGTAACTTGGTTGTTTCTTGTGGATGATATGTCAAAAGTGTCCTGATTATTTATTCAATTTTGCTTTATGGTTCAGTCCATAGTAGTTCATAGCAGCTGCTATCACTACATAATGGAGAGGAGCAGCTTCCTGCTGCTATTCCAAGTGCATAGCGTCACGTTCAGTGTAGCGGCTGGAATTGCGGCCAAAATCAACACCATGCTCCTTTAGTCTTTAAGGAATTTAGAGAGATGTTGATTGACACATCAAGACTTATCAACCTAAAAATTTTTAAGAGATTTTTCAAATTGTGACTAAACTATAGTAGTCAATTGCGGATAGCGGTGCAAAGTGGCTGATCCCAAAAATGCTATAGCAGATAGTGGGATGACTTCAATTCTGAAAATTTTAAATACACCTAAGTATAGATTATGCTACACATATATATGTTGAAAATTTCAATAATTTGGAGGGTTTTCAGAAGTCAGAACAGATCAGAGAAGAAAAATGGAACAAAACAGAGTGGGTCTTGTTGGAAATGAAGATAACTATAACTTGGCTGGATATAGTGAACAAAGTCAAATTTTGGTTGGAAAGTAGCCCCTAATGCAAATGGGTCACGTAAAAATTGAGTAGGTCTCACTCAAGATAATCGGAACTTGGCCGGAAAAGGACATCGACTGCTGTGAAGCTTGTTGGACGAAGCAGAAGTTGCTGAAGATGGTGAATGGGAGCACTTAGAGTTTGAGAATACTGAGTTTGAATGATACATCAACATGCAGAAATTGACAATGGAAAAAAGAGGGGGAGGGGGGGGAATCCCAAAATTGCCCTCCTTAAAAGCCTTTTAATGTTAAAAAAACAAGGGTAAATTCAACATTTCTGTCGTGCATCAAATAGCGGCTGTGAAAGCCGCAATTTTCTGCGATTTTGACCGTGATTCCCACCACTACACTGAACCGTGACACTATGCAATTGGAATAGTGGCACGGACCTTGTTATATTATTTTTTTGTGAAGAAATATTGAATACTTGCACTACTTTTTCTATGCTTTATTCTGGCATGCACTTCCTGCCAAAATATTGTATTTGACTGGAGGGCATTGTTATATCTTCATCTGTCCTGCCCCTATACTTAGTTCTGGGTTTATCACTCATGATGTTTCATATATCCAGTCTTCATTGGAGCTTGATCATTATTTGTATTCCGGACAAAGAAGATGAATTGGGGCCAATCGTTCTTCATTTGGATTCTCTGGGTCTTCACTCTAGTAAATCAGTTTTTGATAATATTAAGAGGTGAGACTAAAGAAATGCTTGTATGATTTAGACCCATTAAATGTGTGTCCAATTTATCCATACTCTAATCATTTGTGCTTAAACACACCTTGCCACTTCACTGCTATTCTGTGGTGTCGTTTTTTTCTGCTGGTTGTGATGGTTGGCAAGATTGATATATGTTTTTCTTTGCTAAAATCATGAAATATGATGTAATCACCGTATTTTACTAGAATCATGTGTTGACTCACCATTTGCCTAGATAGTATTAGAACATATCTCAATATATTATTTGCTAATGGAAGTAAAATGCCCTTCACAACAATCTAATTGCTATATTTCAAAATGACTTTATATATATGTGTGTGTGTGTGTAACAACACTAGTTTTACAAATCCAAGTATCGTCAGAGTTTTAACTAGAATCTTTTGATGATTGTGTGTGTGACTGTGTGTGTGTGTAACAACACTAGTTTTACAAATCTAAGTATCGTCAGAGTTTTAACTAGAATTCTTTTGATGATTTTTCTACTTTTTGTATATTTTATATACATTCTCAGCTGCTATGAAATGAGGTTTTTCTTTTGGCATTTTGGAAAACATGTTGCACCATTCTGTATGGATTAAAATACACATTCAATCATATAATTGACACTAATTTATTAATTAGTCTCTACCCCAAATTATTGTGCAATTTGATGATTTGGCTACTTGGCCATACATTTGAAGTGTATGATAAATTTTCAGTCAAATTCATTGACCTGGGTAAAACTGATTATTTGAACCGTTTAAAAGCCTATTTTTGTTTTTGTTTTTCTTGTTTGTTTTGTCTGGATGATGTTCAGCTGGAACACCAGGCTTGCTGCCTGGCCATCTGACTAGGTTGACCCTCAGTCCAGTTTTACAGTTTTTCTTTGTTAGTTCATTTATCTTGCTATGTTCTGATTGGCTGTTTGTGTGCATATATCTTCAATTTAAACATCAAACTTAATGATGTGAATATACTCTCTAGCTATTTGATTGAAGAAAGGAACTACATGGATCGAGAATGTGTATCATCAGATGTTTCAATTGCAGACAGAATATGGAAGTGCCTTCCTCGTAGAATTGAATCTCAAATCATTGCGGTAAATCTCTGTGCTGTAAATATCGAATCACATGCCAATGATAGTTGTCTTAAGATGATATATGTTACTTTAACCTTTTCTTCTTTAGAAATGAATAATTGACTTTTGATATATGCAACACATTCCTGTTCCTTTTCCAGCTTGTTGCTGCCCATAAAGAAATAGATTAGTGTTGGAGTTATTGAGACTTTGCTGAGTGATCACATTTGAAGGAATGATATTCTTCTTTAGGGTTTCTTTGGTGAACAATCAGAAAACTGAGTCTGACAGATTAGAGAAAAAAGCACTTTTAACCTTTAATACAAGCTTAAAGTCTTAAACAATCAGAAAACTCTGACAGATTAGAGGAAAAAGCACTTTTAACCTTTAATACAAGCTTAAAGATATTGGAATTTGTTTCAAATTTCAAAATTTTTGCATGTCCTGCTCATTGAAGTTATGGTCTTAAAAATTGACGCCAGGAAACAAAGCAGAAAAACTATTATGCAGTTGTTTCAATAATTTTAGTGATACTTATTCTGAAATTTAAAAGTTATTGGATGTCCACTAATATTTCATCATGTTGCATATGCACCAGGTTCCCCAACAGAAGAATGAGTATGATTGCGGTCTTTTTGTATTGTACTTCATTAAGAGATTCATGGAAGAGGCACCGGAAAGACTGAAAAAGAAAGATTTAGCTATGGTAATCCACGTTGCTCTTTTAGGATGATTTCATTTCAAGTAATGGGTTTTATTTACTGATACTTGTCAATTTACAGTTTGGTAAGCGATGGTTCAAACCCGAAGAGGCATCCGGTTTGAGGGTGAAAATCCGTAAATTGCTTGTAGAAAAATTACAAAGTTCAATCAGGCATAATTGTAAGTCAGAATCTCCTCCTCCTTCATCTGCTGGCACTGCAACCGATTGTGTTGAGACTACTGAGGACCTTTCGTCCTAAGTATTTGGTGGGCACCATGAATTGCAATTCTAATTTCACTGGAAGAAATATGTGTTGAACAGTCCATATAGTTGCGCCAGTGCTTTTTGTCTTTCCGTGTACAGACATCAGCGATTCAGCTGGTAGTTTTTTGGATGCAGAGATTCCAATGGCCTGGCCCAGTAAATAGTCCAAGACCCATCCATACAAGAAAAGGTGGCTGACAATTTGCTATGCACAAATAACAATCAACTTGTCCAGTTTCTAACCATTTCTTGTGGGGTTAGGAGTTCCTTTCAAATGTTTAGTAGGGAACAGTTCAATGCTGACGACTAGAGATAATAGGCTCGAAATATACCCGTTATTATGTACCTGAATCATTGATTTTTCATTATTTCAATTCAAGTTTTAATCCCAACTTCTATTTTTATTAATATAGAGGTGTAAAACAATTATTAGCTCTCGTAACCAAATTTTTGAACTGGACGATGGCTTGTACGCTTGAAGGATATCTTCGGTGCGTCAGTAAGAAGTTTTCTTTCTTGATCACAATATGGGGCTCAAGCCTAAAATGACATGCGATATCACTAGGAGAGATTTGCTTTGGATAAAACGCTCCTACCGAATGAATATGTTTGATATCAGTGAGAAAAGGCGAACCGGGTTTTCTGTGGCTTTTATAAAGAAAAATTTAAAGTTTTTGTTTTAATCGAAGTTTATGGTGCTTAGAGAGGCATATCATTACTGCGCTTCATCTCCGTGCATCATGTTGAAGTTTGAGCTGCATGTCTGGGAGGGCAGCGAACCTAGTTGGTGTATTGTGATCCGTTGGTGCCAAATAAGCAACATAGTGTAGGCTGCCCTATTTCCTTCTCGCCTAGTCCATGTTAAACATTTAGTTTTGACAATTCTCCGCCAAGACTTTGATGTTTTAAAAGGTTGGTTTTATCTTAAGCGAAAGGTTATTTGATTTGAAGAACACTCTCGACCCACACCTGTTAACAACTAAATTACTGGAGGGCTGGGGCTTCTACTACTAAGAGAGATGGAGCAAAGTAAGCATTGGTGAAGCCTGCCAATAGGGTCCAAGAACTATCTTGAGCTACAACAATAAAGCATCAAAAGGGTCGGTCCACGTTGCATCTGTGTTCAGCTGGATAACCTCCTAAGTTGGAGGATGCCAAAAGACAAGGCACTTACTTGTCTGATTATCCTGTAAATGATTTTCTTTTGTGTATTTGCTTAAAAGAATTCTATTTGGAATATTTGTATTGAGAGCAGTGTAGAAATTGGTTCAGGGGTTGTGTTATGATGAACACAGTGAGACCTTGCTTTCCATATGAACCAAATTGTAATGAACAGGGTAGCCATAGCATGATCGAATCCTTCCTTGTTTGTTTTGAATTGCTTCACCCTGTCTTAGATCTAGTAGTCCAACCTAGTTATTTCTTGAATACTAAGAGTGCACAATTCGTAAGTCAAATCAGAGGGGGCGTGTTACAGGGCAAAATAGGAAAGTGTGCCCCAATGTTTCTAGATTTTGGTGGCATAATAGACATATGTCAACTGGTAATAGTTGTCTTAGCTAAATTAGCTTCTACTGTTATTGTGGCATATTTTTCATATGAAAAAAAATTAACTTTATTGTGACAAAATAAATTAATATAATTTATTATTTATAATAGTAATATAATGACCTTTTAACTAATATTGAAGAATAATTGCTCTATAAATGTCAAGTAGTTACAAAAAAAATATTGCCACATTGGTGTCTTTTCGGAGCATTTTAGTGCTTTTTAGTGCACTTTGGTGTCCTCTTAATGCACCTTGATTTTCTCTTAGTACCTCTTGGTGCACCTTAGTATTCTCTTAGGGTATGTTTGAGAGTTAAGTTTAGGAGGGGAAGGGAGGGTTTAGGAGGGTTTAATTGTTGTTTAGGAGTTAATTAATTTAGAGGAGAAGGGTTAGAAAATTTTTCTAAACCGTCTAAAACCCTCCTAACCTTAATTTTGTGAATTCCCCCATTTTTTAGGGTTTTTTTAGTCTATTAAAATATTTTTCTTCATATTAATTATTAAATGAATAAAATAGAAAAAAATATTTTTTAAAAAGTGTGATGTTAATCTCTTAAAAATAATAAAAAAAATTTTAAAAAAATGTTAATTTTAGAGTGAGAATTCTTTAAAAAATATAAAAAAATAGAAATATGAATTTTAAAAATATTTATTTTTAGAGGGAAAAAATATATAATTTGTGTATTTTTTTTAAAATTAAAGAAAAGAATAGTAATAAAATAATTTTTGTTCAAAATATATTAATTTTTAGATTGATATTTTTCAAAAAATTTATAAAAATAGAAATATAATTTTAAAAAATATTTTTTAAGAGTGATAGTTTCAAAATATATTAATTTTTAAAAATATTAATTTTTAGCAAAATAAAATTTTAATTTTTGTATTTTTTTTAAAAAATAAATAAAATAAATAAAATGTATAAAAGACAATAATCTCATTTATGTAATTAACCTCCTATCACCCTTTCCTCCAAATTTAACATCCAAATAAGGGAGGAGTTTAACCTCCTTCTCTCTCCCTTCCTCTCCCCTCCTTCTCCCTTCAAACTTTTAAACTTTCAAACAAAGCCTTTGTACCTCTTGGTGCACCTTAGTGCCCTTTTGATAATGTGGAAAGTTTTATGCAAAGGCTAACTTGTGGGCTGTCTTAAATGTATTTTGACATGTCATTATGTCTAATAGGATTAAGCTCACATCAACCAATATAGGGAATATTGTTAATAGCAAGGGTTTGCTGGCAATGTGATCCAATTATAGTGAGCTACTATGGATTATTGGATCATTATCCTTTTTACTACCCCCAAGGTTTTGTGTAACACTCTCTTTTTCATTATTCAGAAAATGATGTTTTATTTGATTTTAAATAATATTAGGATGTGTTTAGGAGTGAACTATGAAGAGTTTTTAGAAGAAGTTGGTGCAGGGGATCTCGTTCAAGCGAGACTAAGCGCCTAGAAATATCTTATTCTGGGTAATCTCGCTCAAGTGAAATAGGATAAATTTAGATCAACTATCACCTCGTCCAAGCGAGAGTGATCTCGCTCAGGCAAGGACTCACAAAAAAAACATTATGCTCTCTGGACAATGTAACATCCTATATTTTGATTTAAATAAAATGAGGTTTGTTAAAGTATAATTGGAATAGATTTGAATAGAATTTATTAAAAAAAAAAAAAGTGAACAGTAAAACCGCCTATGAACAGTAAACCACGTATGAACAGTGAAACCGCCTTTGTACAATGACGATGACGTCATCAATGACATCAGCATGACGTCATGGCTGACGTCACATCCGCGTACAGTACGTGTGCACAGTGTTTCCGGCGATGAACAGTAAATTCCGGCGGTGAACAGTAACTTCAAAAATTTTCTTCACTCCTATCCAAGGTTCTCAAAAGTTCTAAGGTCATATCCTCGTCATTTTCTCCCATACTAAACCTCCTAAACTTAGATTTTTCTTCAGATCTGTGATTCTACGTTCGATCTAAAGGATTACAAGTAAGTTTTTCTAAGTTTGAAGTTAGATTTACCGTTCGTTTCTCTTCTTCTTCTTCTTCTTATAGATGTTCATGATGTTCTTAGAAAAACCTCCGTTCTAGAGTTAAACCTTTGGTTAAATCCTTGTAAAAGCTCTGTTTTGAGGTAAGGGGGGGCTATACTTTATCATTTCGTTATGTTTATTACTTGTATTCTCATAGATCTTGTCATGTATGTAATTATATGTGAAATAATCCCTGTTTTATGAGAAATAATCGGTGAAAAGTGAGAATAATTAGTTGTTTATGTGATTTTATGTTGAGTACATAGTGAAATTGTGATATTATGTTCAAATAGGGCATGATGAGGTATATTGAGGACGGTTGATATGATTTTATGATTTTGTGATATGAAATATACGAAGAGATGGATGTTTCATGTTTGAATATATTGTGTTTTATGTAAAAATAAATGTGTATTGTGAATATGCCATGGTTTGATGTATATGATGAAAAGTATGTGCAAATATAATGAAAAATATGTGTAAACATGATAAATAGCATATGTGAACATGTGAATATGCTCGAAAGAGTATGAAATGGAAGAGGATATGATGTAAATAGTTACAGAGATACACTGGGGAAGTGGAAGATGGAGACGATATGGGATATCTTGGGGAAATGTAGGGTGGTGAGTGACATTCGGGATTGTGCACGGAATATTGTGTTCATACACCACATGGCCACACACTCATTTCTCGACTTGACTCCTGATCATTACCTTTGCTAAGGGGCCGTCTATTGCATGCGTTGTATCCGTATTCCGTTGGGCCATCCGGCGACTATTTACATGGATGTGTAAGACCTCGGGATAGAGGCATCGGATAACTGTGGCCACAGGGCGTGGTAAGCGCGGATAAAAGTAAAAGAAATTGTGAATGTGTGTAATGTAATGCGCGTTGAGATGAGAATATGCTTTATATAACCTTGTGATATGTAATACCATGATGTTTTCTTTAATCGTGATAAGATGTGTTTTGTGAAGAATGTATATGTTATGTATGAGTGGTAGGGTAGAGACTCACCCTTACACAACATTTTTTAGGAAACCAGGTTGAATAGTACTAGGCTCACAGTGCATGGATGGATGAGAACTGCTATAGGACTTAGTTATTTTGAGTTATGTAATGAATATTTTCAGTTCCATAGCATTCTTTTGAAACAGTTGTAAAACTACTATTCCTCTTTATTGCTGATGAAAACTTTAGAATCTTTGTTTTCCTAAAGTACTTATGAATTAATGAAATTTTACTCTATGAACCTTATATCATTTCAATGTCTTTTCCTTATTAGAAAGTTTTGAAGGAAAAATTTACTTTACCATATTAATTTTTATGAAAATTTATCATATATTGAGGAAAGAAATATAAGGTGTTATAGACAACATCTCGCTCAGGCGAGATGTATCTCGCCCAGGCGAGCAATGCGTTGCTCAAATGAGAGCACATGCTGCTGAGGGTATTTAAGAGATTTCTAACATAAATATTTCATTTCATTTCAAAACTCACGTTACTCTATTATTTTCTCTGAACTCTCTCTTTCCTATTACAGAGAAAAGCTTTGAAAACTCTAAAACTACACCAAATTTGAGCTCAAACTTTAACTCCCTGGAATCATCGAACTACCTTGGTCTGTGAACCATCCTTTTCTCTTTTTTTTTTCTTTCCTAAACTTGTCTTTTAAGGTAATGAGAGCTCTATCTTGTTACTAAGAAAGTGGTGTGTTTATGCTCATGAAAATGTTGTGATGAAATGTTTGATTTTGAGTATATGCTGGATGAGAACATGTTTTTGTTATATTTGAAGCATGTGTGTGGTGTTTGATGATGTGTATAGTTCTTATTATGAGTATATATGCACATATATTATGGACTGAGTCCGAGGATGACCTACTCTCGGCAATGATTACTTGATATATGATGTACTAATGAACTAGAGTAAAATAGAGAGATGAGATAGGAAATATGGAAAGAGAAATGAAATAAGAAAGGAATATGATAAGGACAAGTATGGATAGTTTAGAGGTACACTAAGAGTGTGGAAGATGGAGGTACACTAGGAATACGAAAAGAGAAGTCTTGGAAAAATGAGGGTAATGGATGCTCCTCTTGAATTACGCAAAACAAATGAGAGTAAGAGCACCACAAGCCTCACACTTGTTTTCTAACTGATACTCTTGACCATGCTTTTGCTAAAAGGGGTCGGGTCGGCACACGTATCTGTGTAGCTACGACTATCCAGCAACTATTTATACTAAGGGATACCTCGAGGGATCCTAAGAGCAGTGGAAGTGTGAGATGAAAAGTTTTAAGTATTAATAGACATAAAATAGAATTAGTTAAATAATTGATAATCTTGTTATATGATGATTTGTAGTATTTTTTCTACTTGTATCGTTGATTTAATTGTGTATGCATGCTTGGTAATAAAAATAGAGACTCATCCTTACATAAATATTTCAGGGGATCAAGATGACAACACCCAGAGAGAGCAATAGGCTCATAGATAGTTTTGTACAATGTAGATTGAACTATGTATTTAATGAATACCATAGGTTTTGTTATTTTACGGTAGCTTTACATGTTGATGATGTACCCCGTAACATTATTATGTTATATATGGAACTATCTTATAGTATTCCTTTTGATTTTCCTATGAATAATAGAATCCACCATACCCTGTTTATGTACCTTTATCATGGTATAGTTAGAATCCCGATAGTTGTAATCTACCTGTTTACATATCATGATCATGATCATCTTAAAAAGCCGTCTCGATGGACTTTTGAACGAATTACTG